CCTCGAAATCGGCTCTTTGTGAGGCTTCCAAAGCCTTGCTCTTTTCATTTTCAATTTCAGCTATCAACAAGCCGATTTGTTCTATAGCGTCATGTTGACGGCGGCCGATTTCGGCTATCCTACCCACCATTTGCAAAACAAGAAAATAGAGTTACAAAATATAAGAAAAAAAATATATATATATATATCTAGGCGGAGGACTGCAGATAAGGCATATACCAATAAGGCCGATTGAGCGGCTAATGCAATTGACAATAGATCTGGCTCCGCTTGAAATGTGGCTCTGTCAACCGGCAAGGAAATTGAGGAGGCCATGCTCAAGGCCACAGCCGGGTCCTTCAAAGCCGACGAATCAGAGGCAATCGGCATATTCCTTATCCTTGGTTGAATAGTGAATGGAACTACCAAGTCTGATTCCTCAATGCGCGGCCGTTTATCGATTTGGTTCTCACCAGAGACGGCTTCTCTCTCAGCGGTGCGTTTTTCCCCCCTTTTCTCAGCCTCCTAATTCTCTTGTTATACCTGCTCCGTCTCGGTCGTTTGGTCTGAGCCATTTCTTCCTCAATAACAGGCAGAGAGGACTCAATGACGGCAGCGGGTGGAGTTTCCGATCAAATGGCCTCGACCCTCCTCCGGGCAGCCATCGTTTCGGCGTTTTTCCACCTAGCAAGTTGCGTGAGCGACTCCCCAGCCATATTCTCAGGATATGCGCTGGGAAGGTCTTCTAAGTCTATAAAAATGTCTTCGAATGAGACGTCCCCTCGACCTGAAGTTGATGGAGGGTTGAACGAATTGAAGCCGGCTTCCTTAAAAGCCAAGTTTATAGCCTCGTCTACCTCAACTTCCGACTGGTTTGGCTCCTCGGCGACCCCTTCAGCTACTTGTTCTTCCACCTGCTGCAAATCGGAGGCTTCCAGACCAATTTTCCTTAGGTTTCTAAAGTTTGGAAAGATAAGGGCCGTAAGATGCTCTTCGCCCCTCGGGATTGGAATGTTGTCTGTCGCCGAAAACGTGGCGTAGGTCGACTCGTATCTTAGAAGAATGTGGGCCACCCTCCCTTGTTTCTGAAGGCTTGGATGGCCAAAGAACTGGAGTGTGATTTTAATGTCTACAAGTACAGCGTCGTTGGCTGAAACCAAAACTTTCTTCAAATCGTTGCATGCATAAACAAAATGGTAAGTACACAGAAGGAAGGCCGAAAAATATATAATAAAAAACAATTAAAAATGAGCTATACGGCCTCCTGATTTTCCTTTTCGTCTTGGCACGGGATCTAGGCGATCTTCACCACCGAATTCCCAGTTGCCTTGGACAACGACCATTACATCATCAACACGCTTTCCAGAGCTAGCAAGCATAGTCACTATGTGATGATCGGTATCCTTGGCCTTGAGAAAATAGTGTCTCGGCCGGCCAATAGATATGGCTAAGGCATAACAACGTCGAATTGCAGGTATATCAAGATTAATCCTAAAGCATCGGTTCAACTCTATAATCTCCATTATGATTCGGAAAAAATTTACATTAGGTTGGGAAAGGATTAGACCCCATTGTCGAAGGACGGCCTTTAAAAATAGGTGAAGGGGAAAACGAACTCCCCCCTCAGCAATTGATAAGAGAGGAAAGATGATTGTACTTTCATTAGTCATCTCCATATCAGTGGTGTTGTCTGCCACGAGTGACAGATGAACGTCGTCGGGGATGGAATAATGGGGTCGGAAACCGGAAATTCGTTCTGGAGAAATGAGTTCTTTCAAGTGTTTGTCCATCTTAGCCAGCCTAAGGATTATGAAAAACTAAAAATAAACAAGGAAATGGGATTCGAAATGAAGGAGAAGAGAACTTACAAGAAGCAGAAGAGACAATAAGAAACAGGAAGAAGTTACAGAAGTCGCGAAATGAAGGTATATCGAAAGGCAAACCAGAAGCTTTGAGTATTCAAAAAAACTTGCATTCGAATGGATAACATAGTTTCAAATCGCATTAAATGAAGAAAGCGTATGAAGAGGAGGAAAGATGTAATGATGCCTGAAAAGCGTGTGTTCTGACATGTGTTGGAATGAGGTTAACCGCCATTCTTTCCTTGACTTTTCAAGTTCGAAACCAAACATGCCGAATAACTAGCGTTAATAGGATGTTTGGGGCGCAATTGTGGAAGCCGAATATTATGGAGGCAATCAAGCAGAATAACGGTGTACGGACAATCAAGGACATAATTTGTATTCGACTTCATCTTGGGCGACCCCAAAGCCGAATATATTAATCGGCCGTGGAACCAGTCAAACAAAAGCCGAATACATAAACGTGCAATGGATTAAGGGTGGGCCCGACCTTGAGTCCCAAAAGAAGAATATAAATAGAGGAGTATCAACCAAAGAAAGGTAGGTGAAAACAAGTAAGTTTAACTTGAGATATAAACAACCAAGGGAGTATACACTGACTTATCCGTCGAAGTACTAATTCCGGCACTCCCGCTCGAAGTGTTCATTCCTTTTCAGGTGACTAGCTGAGGATCACGAGCATCCTACAAGATCCAAAGAGTATTTCCAAACCACTTCTCCACAACCATGTGTGCTTATTTTTTTGTTTTTTATTATTATTTTTTTTTTGAATGATTACATCTATACTATATATAGGTATATAATGTATATGTACATAATGTATAGTATACATAAATATGGAATAATAGGAAATTAAAATTGTAAATTATGGAAATTACCATAAAAGTGTTCTTTTTTTAATTGAAATTTAAAATAGATTAGTATATTCTCTTTTTTGAAAGCCATAAATCATGAAATAATTACCTAACAGAATTTTGTTTAATTCTTTAAAATTAATAAAATCAAGAAATTAAATATGAAATTTTGAAACTATGATAAGGCTTTTTGTTACAACGGACCCACTTGTTTCCGCACTACAAGGGAAAAAAACACTTTTAGCGGTGTTCATGTTAATCACCAAAAGTATAATTTTTGTCATTAAAAGTGTCAACAACGCCAAAAAAATAAAATGATCACTGAATCCATGTCAGTAAATGATTCGGCGACCAAATAAACTATGGTCACTTTATGAAAGAATCAATGACCAAATATTTTAGTCGTCAAACACTAAAAATTTCGTTGTCATAAATTAACATTTAGTAACTAAAAGTAGCCTTAAGCAGATGCTCATGTTAGGTTTTAGTGACATATAAACGCGTCACCAAAATATCTTTTAATGTTGAAGCAAATGGTTGCTGAATGTCAAATCTTTTGGCACCAATCAAGTTTTTGATTGCTAAAAATCTATATCCTATTTTATATAAATTTTTAGCAACCAAATCAAATTGTCACCAAAAGTAAATTAATAACTGAAAACTTGTCACAAAAAATTCATTATTTATGTTTTTTATAATTTTCCTGTTTGGTTCATAAACCTAGAAAAAATAATCCAAACCCAAACGTACTTTTCTTGTGCATCATTTCTAAACATACACGCAATCAAATAAAATAAAATAAATTAAACCACTTATGCAAAGCATCCAAAATATAAACTTAATTCAAAAGTAGTAACATATTAAATACAAGCAAAATATCAAATCCATCTAGCATAAGTACAAATCCCTTACAATCTGAAACTTCAAACATGTACATTCACAATGTCAATGAGAATATTAATGTACACTTCACCCTTATTATTGGAGAAATTACAATTCCGCCTATATTTTCAAAATAAATTTCAAATCAATGATAAACTTTATCAACTTCAATAATTGAAATTATGAACTTTTCCATCACTGTGTAAAAAAATTCAAGTCTTTCAACTGATTAACAATTTTCCCTAATTTATTTTGTGTGGTCAGCTTACTTCTACTACGTAAATTGTGGTTGACATCAATATCACATGAAGTACCATGTCGGGGAGAAAAAAAATTCATTAGAGCTATATATGGTGTGGTTAACATATTTTCACCTAACCATCATATATATATATATAGAAAAATGCCTAAGACCCCCAGTGGGGGTCATTGGGGGTCGTGTGTGTCAGCGCATGATTGGCCCAAAAAAAAAATTTGTTTTTTTTTTTTTTTCAGCGAATGGCAGCGCGTCACGTCACTGGGGGTCTGAAGCAGCGCTGTATATATATATATATATGTATGTATCTCCAACTTATCAAATTAGTTGGTCCTACATATTACATTTTGAGTTGTCATTTGTTGTACATATTGTTTTTGTGTTTGTGACATTGCATAATATTGGTGAAATTACAATTCAGCCCATATTTTCAAGATAAATTTTAAATCAATGATAAAATGTATCTACTTTAATAATTGAAATTATAAACTTTTCAATCACTTCATAATTTTTGGTCTTCCAAGTGATTTACAAATTCCCCTAATTTTTTTTGTGTGCTCTAGAACTTCTACTACATAAATTGTGGTTGACATCAATAGCACATAATGTAACCGTGTCGGGGAGAAAAAAATTTCATTTTAACAATGTGGTATCTCTAATTAATAACATATTATCACTTATTCATCATGTATAGATTCCAACTTCACTATGATGACCTGAAAGTTGCGTGGAAATTATAATATTGACATTGATAGATGGTTATAATTAAAAGGTAAAATTCACTCAATCATGTGTTAAGTTATAATTAATTTTGACAAGAAAGAGGTTCCGGCAATTTGGGTTGAATAATGTTAGGAATCATAAAAAAAATATCATAAAATGTTTCATGAAAATTCTCTACTATTGGATTACATATACAAAAAATACCATGCACTAATCAAATGATAAAAAAACCTTCTTGAAGTATTTCATAATTTTTTTTAATGATCCGTAACACTACTCATTTGGATTGGACGAAAGCTTATTTGGACTAAAGAAAAAATTACAATTATTTATATCATTATTTAATGACAAAAACAGAAAATAAAAATTACAAAAGAAAAAACTTTAACATGAAGAACAACTTCTTTATTAAAAAAACATACAATACAATTATGAGATCCAACGTCGAAACAAAGTACAAGCCCTTCCCCAAACCCCCCCGCATTGACATACTTGCACATGATTATTGCAAACAATAAATAAAAAATCAAAATAAAAAGAAACTACTTATTTCGAAAATTGCCTGGAAGATGAAAATTGGCACACACACTAACTACTTTGGTTTGAACCAATAGACATGAGCACACCCCCGACCAATTTCTCAAAATTCAAGTAAGATGACCCAACAGAACAAGCTGTGGCCTCTTCACCCAACTTCTTCCACTCCATGACCTTTCTCCTCATCTCTTTCCCCCTCTCTCCAGCCATCAACTCTCTCACCATTCCCCTCTCTCTCCACCCATCAACTCTCTCACCATTCTCTCAACTTCCTCTCTCTTAACATCACTATTTATCTCCATCCCTACACCCCATTGGCTGCAACATGACCAACAATTTGTCTGTTGCTCGGCAAAAAATGGCCAACACAACATAGGGACCCCACTACAAATACTTTCAAGAGTCGAATTCCATCCACAGTGTGTCAAGAAACCTCCAACTGATGGGTGATTGAGGACTTGTTCTTGAGGGCACCAACTTGCTAATAGACTCCTTTCTTTGGTCTCACTCACAAAATCCGGTGGAAGAATCACTGAGTCACCAACAACCAGATCAGGCCTAATGACCCATAAGAATGTTTGGTTGCTATTAGCGAGTCCCCAGGCGAATTCAATCAATTGTAGGTATGTCATAACAGTGATGCTACCAAAGTTGACGTAAATAACTGAATTGGGTTGTTTCGAGTCAAGCCATGAAAGGCACTCAGTTTCTTCTTTCCATAGGCTTGATCCAATGGAATTCAAGTGATTTTGTGGGAATTGGTCGAGGAGAAGCTGAAAAGGGCCAATGGGGTATATGGGTGGGTACATTGTTGACAGTGCTTCTAAAACGTCATGTTCTAAAGCGTCGAAGGTATTGAAAATGATGGCCGAAGCTTCGTGGGCTTTGTCAATTGCTTCCAAAACGAAATGAATCATGACATTCAGTTCAGTGGCTCGAATGAAGCTTGGGAGATCCTTTAATCGTATGCCATTCATGCCTGGTATCCAGTCTATCACAGTGTCTAGGTAACCGTTGGTTAAATAACTTTCATCTGCACTTTGAAGAAAAATATGAAGAAAAAGATTACAGTTAGGAAAATACTATGCATAAACGAATACTCATGCTACAATACACTTGGGCCTGTTTGATTTGCAGGTTTAATTGTGAGGAGATTAATAATTTATGAGATTAATAATTTATGGGATTACATATCTGCCATCATGCAAGAGAGTCCGAATATGTGTCCGAGTGTTCGAATCCTAATGCATGAGAAGTGGTAAATAAACACCATAATTACATATCTGGCATCATGCAAGAGGGTCCGAATATGTGTCTGAGTGTTCAAACCCTATACATGAAAAATGGTAAGTAAACCCCATAATTACATATCAGTCATCATGCAATAAGGTCTGAATAAGTGTACGAGTTCAAACCCTAATGCATGTGAAATGGTAAGTAAACACCATAATTGCATATCTGCCATCATGCAAGAGGGTCTGAATATGTGTCTGAGTGTTCGAATCTTAATACATAAGAAATGGTAAGTAAACCCTATAATTACATATCTGCCATCATCTTATAGGATTGGTTATCTAGCTAAATTATAGCGATCCCGGTTCTTTCTCCTTTGGTTGTAGTATTCGGACTTAGTTTCGTGGATTCCGGTTGTTGTTTTGAACTTGTTTCTGTCCTTTAATTCTTTAAATTTGAGTTATAGAATGTTTTGGACTTGTTCGTTCCAGGTTGGGTGTGTTTGGGAGCAGGTGGTTGCCGCCCAGGTTTTTAGTCCTTCGCTCGAGCGAGATGTCTGTAGCTCGAGCGAGCGTGGAGTTTTGTGTCTGGTGGCTCGAGCGATTACATATCTGCCATCATGCAAGAGGGTCCGAATATGTGTCCGAATGTTCGAATCCTAATGCATGAGAAGTGGTAAATAAACACCATAATTACATATCTGGCATCATGCAAGAGGGTCCGAATATGTGTCTGAGTGTTCAAACCCTATACATGAAAAATGGTAAGTAAACCCCATAATTACATATCAGTCATCATGCAATAAGGTCTGAATAAGTGTACGAGTTCAAACCCTAATGCATGTGAAATGGTAAGTAAACACCATAATTGCATATCTGCCATCATGCAAGAGGGTCTGAATATGTGTCTGAGTGTTCGAATCTTAATACATAAGAAATGGTAAGTAAACCCTATAATTACATATCTGCCATCATCTTATAGGATTGGTTATCTAGCTAAATGAGTGAGATACATAATTTTCTCTTATTCATGCTTGTTTTGCAATAGATATAAAAACATATAATCTTAATTATGGGTATGTTTTGTGTTATTAATTGTAAGATTAAAAATCATTTTTATCCAATAGAATGATCGTTAGAATCCAATTCAAATAATAAAATTTACAACCAAACAATGAAATGTAAGTGGCATGAATTAATAATAATTCTATCCTACACTAATCTGCCCATTCAAATGAGCCCTTGGTGTATACAAGTTGACGAGATCTACTTGCTGCACAGCGGCTGCTTCCACAAGATCTATTTATATTTGTCGACTCAAACGGCAACCCACTATCTTCTTCCTTTTTCTATATATATATATAAAAATTGAGTAATAAATTGCAGAGCTACTCTGTTATTTTGCATAGCCCAACCCAATCAAAAATTTCTCTTCTTCTTCAGTCCGACGTTTATTTACAGCAGAAGAAGAAAAAAAAAAAAAAAAAAAAAAAAAAAAAAAAAAAAAAAAAAAGACTAGAATCACTTTGGTTGGTTTGGATTTTCTAAAAATACTTTTCAAAAATTCTAATTTATGTATTTTTTTTTTTGTTTTTATTGAATGTTTTAAATATTTTAAGCAATTTTTTTAATTTTTAGGCACACCTAACATAAACACACATAAAAAGTATAATTTTCGTAAAAAAAAATCTTTAAAAAAATTCTCTAAATACCAAAAATATAAAAAAAAATACGAAAATTGAATATATTTTTTGTATTTTTCTGTATTTATTAATTCTTTGAAATATTTTTTTCACAAATATTTTACTTTTTAAATATATCTAAGTAAGGTACATCTAAAAAGTAGAAAAAATGCTTCAAATTTTAAAAATATTCACTAAAAAAAATACAAAAAATAAAAAATTCAATTTTTGAAAAATTGAATTTAGAAAACTGAAATAACATTAAATTTATTTCTTAAATGTTCCGATTATAATTGGAAATTTTGGGTTCTTGTTGTCATGATGGGAACTAATCTGGTGTGATGTTAATGATTGTGACGATTAAATTTCTAAGGAATGAAAGCGTATTATGTAGTGTAGTCATTGCAGGAGATCACCATGCCGATGAGGCTGTTGATGGACTCTTGCGAAGAAGAAAAGGACAGAGGGGCTATAGAGCGTTAACGGTGTCATAATAGGTTTTATTGATGGACACGCGTTAACATCACAGTAATGGGACAGAGAAATGGGACTGGGATCCGGGACAGAGTATCCGAACAGAATTGGGATCCTCCCCTTCATTTCGGTCCTTCATTTCCTCTTTGCAGGGCCTTTGGGCCCACTTTGAAGCTCAATTTTGATAATCCGAACTGTTCATATTTTTAGATTTATTCAGTATATCATACCTGTAAAAAATCAAGTTGATCGAATATCATAAAGTATGTGTTCGGAAAACTGCTTATTAAAAAATAGTTTGTAGTCCCAATTTTCTGAACGCATACTTTCTGATATCCGATCAACTTGATTTTTTACAGGTGTAATATACTGAATAAATCTAAAAATATGAACGGTTCGGATTATCAAAACTGGACCTCAAAGTGGACTCGTAAGCCCCTGCAAGGAGGGAATGAAGGAGGGGCTCAAGGAAGAGATCTGGACTCGACCGAACAGGGCCAATAAACTCCAATTCAAACTTCTATCTCCAAGAATCAAACAGGGCCAATAATATAAGCCATAACCAAAAATTGTGGACAAAACTCATAATTCCATATAAAAAATTCTATAATAAAAACAAATTTCAGCACACGAACCTTTGAGTGGAGCAAGACCCTTTTCCATGAGTTTGGGAAATGCAACATGGCCCATTAAGCCAGTAGCACTAGTAGGGAAGAAAATAACAGCAGGTATGCCCATTTCTTCAGCCACTTTCAGAGTAAAGCAGCCCATTGCCCCATCAGAAACTACGCATGTCACCGGAGTTACCTCCGACGATGCAGCAGCCTCGTCGTTGAGTTTGTCGAGTAAGACTCTGAAGGGATCAATAAAGTTGTGCATAATGGAGTGACAGAGTGCCGGGATGTCCTGAGTGGCGTCGGCCTCGGACGGAGGGAGGCCGTCGGGGATGGTTTCGAAGCGGAAGGAGGCGGTGCCGGAGAGGGAGTGGGGGCCCTGGGATTTGAGGAGGCGGCGGTGGTTGAATTCGGTGTTGACGAAGGTGATGTGGAAGCCCTTGTGGTGGAGTAGCTTTGCTAGTTTTAGCATTGGGTTGATGTGGCCTTGTGCTGGGTATGGCATGCACACCGCATGAGGGGTGCATGGGTTCGGGTTCGGTGTTTTTTGTTTCGCCTGGGAACTCATCTCTCTCTCCTCCGTATATCAATGTTAAAACTTGCTCGTCAAAAAAAGAACTCTTCTGCAGAATTTATATTAAGGTATTATTATTTTTAATAATTCTTAGTAGCTTCCATTGAAACTTGTTCGGATAATCTGAATTTGTGTTTGTCGATAGATTATTCGGATGATCGGTGTAATAATTGTCTACTACAATTATCATCTTATTGATTGCGACTATTAACTTTTTTTCTGAATGACCGACCGGTCAATCGACAAGCCAAAATTTGAGTCATTTAGGAGTTGTTTGGGGTGTCTTAAATAAGTGTACTTTTTGTCTTTTTGAATAAAAAAGTTAAGGAAAAAAATATGAATATTTAGGTTAACTTTTTATTTTTTACAAAAAAAATATGTATTAAAAAATTGTATAAGAAAGTGTGTAGGAGAAGTTTGGGAGGGTAGCAGTACGGCCGACCTGTTTGGCATAAGAAATGGTTGCGTACTTTTTGAACATTGCATTGGACGGTGCTGTTCGGCCCGTAAGAGCCATCACGGGTCCCCATTTTGATAATCTGAATCGTCAATGTGTAGAACTCGTCGAGTATTATATGCTTGTAAAAAATCACGTTGATTGGATATCGATAACTATCTGATCGGATTAGTTTTTTTTCAACCGTTAACTATAACACCATTCATTTTTTATACAAAACTGATTTGATCATGTAGTTAGCAATATCCGATCAACGTGATTTTTTATAGACGTATAGTACTCGATGAGTTCTACACATTACACGGTTCCGATTATCAAAACGGGACCTATGATGGGCTCCACGAGCCGAATAAGACCTTGTTATTTGTGAACCGATCCTGTGCAATTTTTCCATAAAGTTCATTTCAAAAGTCTGTGGACTGCAGAATGTGTTGCAATAATTTTTGTATAAAATTATTATTTTTTTAATAAATAGTGATAACTTTTTAATTTTTTTAAATAATTTTTTGACTTTTTAAATTATTCACCACATACCAAATCAGGCCTTAAAATAAGTTAAAATTCAAACTACCTTAGTCTAAAAATTAGACTGATTTTTTAAACTGGAAGTGGGTGTAAAAAGGCATTGACATAGTCCAAATCATGTATATGCACGATTCACACAAATAAATGACTTTGATTGATTTAGACCAATGCCACATAAAATATGAAATTATTTTTTGACTATATCAAATCTTTTATCTTTTTTTTGTAATATTTAAAAAAAAATCAAATTATTAACTTATTTAGATTATATCATAATTTAATTTTTTTAAACATCTTTTCTAATAAATAAAAAATAATAATTTATAAACTGCATCCAAAATAATCCTTCGTAGGCAATGCCGTAATGTATGGATGGGATTATCGGTGGTTGACCTAGTCAACCGAAACATCCAATACTTGGGCTTCTAAGGACTATTATGTGGTGGGATTGCGGTTTGTTGAGCAGCTGCTTCGTGTAGATTGCTTCCACCATCTCTAATGGTATTTATTATAATAATATTATTATTATTATAATTTTATAATAAATAGTAATAATTTGTCAAATTATAACATTGGCATTCCAATAGTATACGTGTTTTGTAAATTTCAACTAATTTTTCCTCTAAATTTGTAATTGTTATTTTAATATAAGGTTTTAATGATTTTTTTTTTTTAGTAATGAATGATTTTTCTCTCTTTTGTTTTTGATAAACTTTCCATACTGATTGTATGAAAAATAAAAAATAAAAATATAATTGAAGATATTTTTGTTATAAAAACAAGGCCCTTTTTTTTGGTCGTTTAATTTATAGTCGTTGATGTGTTGTCTGTTTGGAATTTATAGTCATTTTTTTAATTCAAGATTGAAATAAAGCCGTTTGGCTCATGTTACACATTTCAAGACAATACCATCACCGTTGGATCTTTATATAATTCAATAGTTGAGAAATGTTTCTAAAATCATCTTCTTCTCTCTTTCATCTTCTTGTCATTTCCAAACAATCACATCTTTCTTCTCTCTCTATATCTCTTCTTTTACAAACCCTATCTATCTGTGGGGACATAATTTTTGAATGACAACACGTGATCGACGTCTCACCAAAGTGCCAGCCGAGGTGCCACATGTCCTGGTCATGACGCCGAGATCATCTCGGCTAGGCCAAGGTTATCTGCGAAGATGCCGAAATTTGGGATAAGCGGATAAGGGACAAGAGTCCTAGAATGAGAGAGGATTTCAGTTTGGGTAAAGATAAGACTCTTAGAGAGTTTATCCAAATCCTACTAGAAGTCCAAGATTAACAGTAATCCTAAATCCATTGAAGTTAGGCTTCTATTGAAATTAGGTTTGTGTTGGCTATAAAAGAGAAGCACCCTTATGGGTCTAAGGTATGTCTTTTATACTCTATCTAGTGAGTTAAGCACTATTGGTTATCTTTGGGAGATATTTTACTGACTTGATCATCGGAGTGCCCCCGGGTGGGCGAGCCACCGCCGGAATCTCTTCTTTTTGTGACAGGTCGTTCGAGCTTAATCTATTCTGCCAGCGTTCTCCAACTGAGTGCTTGATTGGCAGTGTGGTCGGAAATTGACCCGCACAATTTGGCGTCATCTGTGAGAACGAAAGAAGAATAGATGGCTAACGACGGACAGAAAGAGAAGGTTGGGGACGACACTCCTAATGGGAGTGGGAAACCTGTATACCTTGACATCGAAGAAGACAATTACAACAAAGAGACTCACGATAAGAATCACGAAGAAAAGGACGTCGGCCAGGAGGGCGACGTGCCAAAGAAACCATATCGAAGCGGATACTACAACGAGAACGACCTCTAGGTATGGAAAGATAGATGCCTGCGGAGGAACGAAGAAGTGAAAGAGATGGCAAACAAGTTGGCAGACCTACAATCGGTCGTCAATTTTATAATGCAAAATAACGACATGCAGCCACCATTCCTCTGTAGGACACGCCGATTCCAGCGGCCAATGCCTAGATGGGAAGGCAGAAACCAATCCCAACAGCCCCTCAGCACACTAGAAGCGAAAAACACTCTCATCGGACTTCCATGGAGGTCAGGCAAAGATAGTCGAGGAGACAAAAGTCACGAAGGACACATCGCACTAAAAAAGAAAACCCCAGAGAACATCGGCATGTTCAAAGGCAGGAGCTGTTCTTCGACACAACTCATGGAGAAAGGTCTAAAAGGGCCCACAACGAAGCTGAGAGTAGTATGCCGAAAAAACTGAACTTGGGAGATAGCCGAGCTCCTGGGCGGAGCAAAGAAGACTTGAGAGATTACCTCAAGAGGAAACAACAGAATGCCGATGCCGAGGTAACTTCACCTGTTAAGCCGAGAACACCATTCTCGGTGGAATTGGACAAATTTGAGGCTCCAAAGAGATTTAGTATGCCGAGATTCCAGATGTACGACGGTAAGTCGGACCCCAACTTTCACGTCGGCTTGTACTTGAACTCGATGGCGTTATACACCGGGAACGAGCCATTGCTCTGCAAGGTGTTCTCCTCATCCTTCGGAGAAATTGCATCGAACTGGTTTCACAAGTTGCCGAAAGGAACTGTGAAAACCTGGGAAGGCCTGGCCGAGATGTTTGTGGCCAGGTTCGTGACAAACAAGTTACAGCCATTGAGGGTGGACGCCCTAATGGCCCTGAAGATCGGCCAGGATGAAACCTTTAGGGCCTATGCCAAAAGGTATTATGAGGTATTCAACCAAATACCAGGATGCAACCAAGAGGTGACTGCCTGCTTCGAAAATCACTGGCAAAGACATTGCCGAAAAGCATGGAGGAGCTGATGGCCAGGATAGAAAAGTATGCCAGAGCCGAGGAGGACACGCCGGGGACAAAGACGTCCAAACAAGAGAAGAGAAATGGTTCGCCGAAGCGAAGCCAAGATAACACTGGATACAAGAAGACAAGAGCTCAGCCCAAGTGAGCAGATCCCAGATCCCAGAAGACAAGATCTCGCCCTAGATGATTAAGTCCGAGGAGAGAAGAACTTGGCCTAAGTTAAAGAATTTTTATATAAGGTCCACAAAAGAGTATGTGGAAGCCATGCAGGGGGCAGATCCCTTGCCCATAGAGCAATATCATAGGGATTCTTTTGGCCTTACATGCAAAAGGAAGCTGAAGCCTATGTAAAAAGGCATGAAAATGCTTTGAAATCCACTTGCAACATACGATAGAACAACAATTTGGCTGGGGCATACCAGCAACAACTTGCTGGGGCTTACAACAAGAAGGTCAGCCCAAGAGAGTTCAGAGTTAGGGACCTCAGCCTGAGAAAGGTTGCCGGCAATGGGGCATAATTGCTGAAGCAATAATAAAGTGCTAGCTTGATTTTTGAAATCTGTGCAATAGGACCGACCAGTCCTATGACCATGTTTCTAATTGAAACATGACGAATAACTTAGACTTATTATATGGCAGAGTAGAAACTTTACTTGCATATAATAGAGTTGAACTAAGTTGGGTTAACCTGGACTTGTCATATCGGCAAAATCAGACACAGATTGGAGCTAAGTGCCTTAGTAAAGAGACCAAGGTTAATAACCTCAGCCAGTCTTTGTTCAAATCTTACATCGGCGACAAGGTCAAAGCCATGTGCCTAATGAGAATCTAAGTGGAACTTAAGTTCACATTAGGGGGCAAAGGGTTAAAGAATGATGATTGGGAGTTGGAATTTTCAAGCCGAGGTCATGTTTAACACTTGTTGAAATTGAAATTTACAAGTTGAAGTTAAACCGAGGTCATGTTTACCACTTGTTGAAATTGAAATTGAAATTTACAAGTTAAAGTTAAACCGATGTCATGTTTAACACTTGTTGAAATTGAAATTTGCAAGTTGAAGTTAAACCGATGTCATGTTTAACACTTGTTGAAATTGAAATTTACAAGTTGAAGTTAAATAACGGATGTGTTTAACACTTGTTGAAATTGAAATTTACAAGTTGAAGTTAAACCGATGTCATGTTTAACACCTGTTGAAATTGAAATTTACAAGTTGAAGTTACACCGA